CAGCAGCGTCAGCAGCAGCAGCAGCCAGCAGCAAGAAGCAAACGACAAATTTTTAAGCTTGAGAGAAAAAACGAGTTTTTGCGAGTTTGGTTGTTGGACTCAACCCATGCAAGTTTCAAGAAGCCTTGCCACAAGCCTTGCCTTCCACCAGCCTGGCACAGCTGCTTTGAAGTGGTTCTGCCCTAGAGTCTAACAACTTCTCCGAGCCCCGCTTAGCTTTCGTTGGCCTGCCCCGCCCCTCAAGTAAGTTTGATGGCAGAGTACGCCTGCAATGCCCAACCGCAGGGTTTTTCAGAGCCCAACCCAGCATTTCTTGCAAGGGCTATCGCAAAGATGATGTATGAAAGGTATTCTGGAGTCAATCCAAGAGTAGAATGTTTCTCGGACTGTTAGTCGCTGTCCTTCCTGACGAGTGCTGACTGCGTCGTCACTGACCAAAAATTGCACTGGCTTTTCCCATCCCTTGCCCACAAGTCCGGGAGGACCTTACTTGGGGACTCTTTGCCGGAGTTGATACGGTGGAGTACACCAACAAGTCGGCATCCAGGGCAGACGGACACAAGCAGCTGTCCTGTGACCCTTGCAGGTTCTATGACCTCTACAAGGCAAGGGACCTGGGCAAGGTGCGCAGTTGACGCGTGCAACACAATCTTGTCGCAGAAAATTATGGATGCTCTGGCTTTGCCTCACCAACTCTTTGTCAGGACAAGCTGGCTGGTGTGTGTAGCTGGCTCGTTCAGGGCCTTAGATGGAAAGTTATCAGTGCTGTTTACAGACATGTGCCATAGACCAAGGCTTGGTACGAATCGGAGTATGGCAAGCCGGTTGGGCAGCTGGAGCTACAAGCCCAGAAGAATTTCAAGCTTTTTTCCAACTCTGGACTCCCTTCATCCCCCTTGCAAGGCCTTGGTTGCGAGAAGCAGACCTTCCAGCTGACCTCCCAGCTTCAAATATCTTCACGTCTTGCGGGCGACTCTGCAGCGCACACCGTAGCGCAGGCACCGCCTCTGGAAGAAATCGAGGAGATGTGCACAGCCCCACGTTCACAATTAAGAACCCTCGACTTAGGTGGAGGTCATGGAGGCATGATGTTGTTGTTGTTGTATCCTGAAGGTTATGTAGTGCAGCAGATACCTCCGGTTTCTGTTCATCGCAGAAGGATATTGTGCTGGCCTCGATCTTCTCCTGATGTTCTTCACAAGCGTGCCTTTCATTGCCGTGACAAGACTGAGAAGCACACGCGCTGGTCATGGCGAAGCAGGATGAGCACGCAAGAAAGCGACACAGCCAGGTGAGGTGTGGCCATGTTTCCAACTGTTGCAGCAGTTGCGTTAGGTTGTAGAAAGTTTCACGAGGTTGCACCAAAAGGACAGATGCGGGCAGACGAGGGATTCAGCCAAGACGGCTTGTCTCGCCAGCTTCCTGAATCAGGGATGGCTGTCACAGAAGCCCCCTTGTGCCCGCAGAGACTGCCTGCAGCTGAAACAAATGCTCTTTTTGTTCAGACTGACCTGGAAATGCAGTGGCCGCGAACCACTGTCACCCTCATCGCACTGATGCTTTCACTTTCGGCTCGTCATGGCAGAGAACCGTCTGGGGCCCGTTTGGTCTCACGGTTGACGCATACATTGCATACATTGCAAAAACAAAGGGCGTAACTGTGGCCAACATGTGCTGAACCTAACCTTCGCCTGAGCTCGTAACAAGGCCGGCACACAATCACATGCTGCCAGGAAGGGCCTGAAATCTGGCCCTTGGCAGATTTTCCGTTTTTGTGTGCAAGTCGTTGAAGAAGCAGGCTCTTGCACAGCTGGAAAGGTTGATGAGCAAGAGGAGTGCTTTGTCCAAACTGCGCAGGCACAATGGCAGACGAGGCCGGTGCCAAAAGACGTGTCCGGGCAAGTCCTCAATGGGAGGTGTCCTGTTATGTTTTTTGGGCTAGGTGGCTAGGTGGTTAGGTGCTGCCAAAAGTGACATCCCAATTCTCCAATGCGCAACTGTTCAAAACTTGACGATGCGCCTTGAACAGGAGCAGTTGCTGTCACTGAGCCTGGACGACTGTGTGCCATGCTTGGCTTCTTCAGTGATGTGAATTGTGGTGCACGTTGGTGCACGTTCCTAGCTTCATGAACTTGGCTTGCCAGGTTTCGCTGCTGACGAAGAAGCATGGCACGCTAAAGGTGCCGATTCAGCAGGCCTGCTTCAGGCAGATTCTTCTTCGTCGAAGCAGGCAGCTTTCGACAAGATGGACTTCTTCCAAGACGGGCGGCTATCCTGTTTGGAATGGCAGGACATCTAGTGTCATCTATCGTTGCCGCATTTCAAGCCCTTCATGTTGAGGAGGGACTGCGCCAGCTACTTTCAACGGGGTCCAAAGACTCTCGCAGGTGGGAGACTCCTACAGGACTCCCAGAGATGAGTTTTTTTGCGCGCTGCTATGCGCTGCTTGAGGTATGATCCTTTGAAAGAGCCAAGACGCACATGCGACTCCGTGCTGCTGCGTCTGTTTAAAGCCATGGACAAGGAAAGAGAGCCTCAAGCGGTATGAAAGTCACACAATCGGTTCCTCATTGCTTGCTCAGGACAAGGATGGCTTCATCTCTTTTGAGGATTTGGCCAACGCGAAGGGTGGGTGCAGTCTCCCAGTTGGGCTATCAAATCTATACCGCTTGCGTAACATCATGGAAGAGGCTCAGTTTTATCCTTTTCCTTGGGACTTGTGACCCAAGATTGCAATTTTGGAAGTTGGTTGGTCGAAGTCGGAAAATCTCACTTGTTGCTGGCCTTGCAGTGCCCAAACTTTCCACGTGAGAACATGCCAGCGTTCCAGGAAGCAAATCGCATTTCTCAACATCTAGCTTAATTTAAAACATACATTAGTGACGTACCCGATCCTTGTCACGCTGACTCTCTCAGGCCCTTCGTTTACTCGCGCGAGCTGCGAAAGAAGGATTCAGAGGAAAATATTGCAGTACCGCTGGTATGTTTTGTGATCCAGAAAGTCAGGGCCTGCCGGCTGCGTTTTTCTCTTAGTTCCTTGATCAGGCATCGCCAAAGGATTCCAAAGGGTCGCCAAGATTCCTGCAGGCTTCAGATGTCCGAGAAAAGCTTTCCCATCCAGAGGCTGATGTTTGGTGCATTCTGGTGCAGGAGCTTTCGTATGGCTCCAGCTCCATGGGTTTCACAATGCTACCTTTGGTGTCGCGCAAGAAGAAAGACGGGAAGGCAGGTGCACATACACGTTGTCCCTCGATGAGGGTTCCCACAACATGGGTCGCTACAGGAACACTTTGCCGGCCACATTTACTCCGAGATGCGCTGCAGCCTTACGTCTGTGTTTCAGCTGGCGTGGCTTACTGAGAGCAGTTGTGGAGGGTTTTCTGTATTGAGCTTCAGCATGTTACGAGCTTGCGCTTAAAGGCATCGTTTCCAGCCAAGTAGACCTAGTGACCTAGTGGTGTTCGGCTGGTCAGAGTGAGTCATTGGTCGCAGGCCTTCGCCATGCATCTAGGGCATCATAACCCAGCTGCGGCGCGAATGTGCCTCTTGCAGAGGAGCCTTCGCAGCCCTTCTCATCAAGAAGTTTGATACGCTGGACAAGGCTTGGGAGCTTGCGGGCAAGCCGCATGGAGATCATGTTTGTGCTGCCAAGGCCTACAAGCACTTCGATGGCAACAGGAATAACCAACTCGGGATGACAGAGTTTGTATATGGAGTCCTGCCCTTTCAGTTGCAGACATTCTACCCCATGGTGTTGTCCGGCGAAGGAACCCTGCCCTTCATCTGAGGCCAAAGCCTTGCACTTCACAGGGAACGCCAGGTCCGTGTTTAAGGACAGCCTGCGATGTTATATTTCCCGCTAGGGGGGGCAGCTTTGTTATCTGGAGGAACTCGACAGGAACAACAACGGCAACATCTCGATCCAAGAGTTCAGGGTTTTGCGTGCCTTGAATGCCACGGAGGACTGCATGCCAGCACCTACTAGAACGTAGTTTGGGGGTCATGGGGTAGATTTGAGCTTGCTAGTGCAAGGATGAGGCTGTGACTTCTAAAACCAGACGCGAGCAGGCAAGAATTGCGATCGTCTTGAAAATCCGCCCTCAACAGCACAATCAGGTGCTTGAGCGTAGGCAAAGATCGCCCATTCAAGCACCGCGCAGACACCAGTTCCGTGCCCAGCATGTCTTCAACACAGACTTGCCAGCATGCCAGTGAGTTGGAAGCAAGGAGAAGTGTCTGCCTCGCCTCTACTCATGTGCAGTTTCCAGAGGCATTGGCCTCCGGCCTGCTGATAAGCTGTAAGGGCTTGCAGTCTGTGTTGGCTCATTTTTGCTGGTTGGGGGAGCATATGTAACCATCTAGACATTCTGCAGCCATAGTGGTCAGGAAGCCTTTTCAGCTTCCGAATCGTTGTATGCTATGGAGCTCGCCTACTGATGCTTCTGCTATTGCTCTTTGCAAATGTAGGTTGTTTGGGTAGGGCCTTTTGTCAAACACTAACAGGTGATCAGGCTGACCTGCAGTTCTGGCCCAAGTCAGCTGCGGTTCAAACCTTTCTTCCCCGTGTCAATGGACGTATCCTTGTTCGACTGCCAGCGTGACACGCTGACTTGAGGTAATGCCTTGAGCGATTTCGATTTAGACACTTATGTACAATCTGCAAGCGCGCAAAATTCAGGGCAAACGACAAAGCTACTGGCCGCTGTGTCGGCTTTCCCTGTTCAGCGTACTGTGGAATAGTGCAACGTGTTCATGTCAGCGGTTTGGAACTACAAAAAAAATGTTGAATCTGTCTCCCAGCGCGTCAAGGGTTCCAGGGATAAAAGGCATGTGGATTCAGGCCTTGCGTTACACGTGTAGCGGGCTCAACAGTTTGTAGACTCGTCATGTTTTTTTGTGTTGTTCCGCGGCTTGTAATTGTATTGAGAAGTTACAGCACTCAGTGGCAATGGGAGGGGGCCGGGGCCAAAAAAGAAACAAGGATCAACAAGAGCAAAAAACAGAATACTGGACTTTGTAGTAAAACTGAAAGTTGCAGCCTCCCGAGCAAGGATAAAAATCAAGGTGTTGGTTTTATGATTTTCCTAATCTTCTTCATGCTTTATCAAAACTTTTCGCCACTTTTCTTCGATTATCATCGTTTTCATTATTTCCATTGTCTTTCGGATTCATCATGTTTCTTCATTTCTCATGTTTTGCATTTCTCTTTGTTACGATTTTCCATCATTTTCATCATACTTCATAATGTTCAACATCTTGCATCATCGTTCAATATTGTTGTGACTTTTCATCAGGTTCCTGTATTTCTCATCATTTCTCATATTTTTGCAGCATTTTTCATGTTTGCGTGTCGTGCGTCATGTTTCATCATCTTCATTGTTTTCATGATTTTACATTATTTTTCATCATCTCGCAGTAGATCGTGCAAGAGTCTCCATGGAGTCCATCCTTTGGATGCAGACGGTCTACTGGACATGTGGCATGTTTTGATCTTCAGCCGGCCTTTGCATGGCAGCGCGTGACCTGGAATTACTGTGGAAAGCTCGTCCTTGTCTTGGCAACTTCCTTTTTGGAAACGCCTGCAAGAAACGGTGGATGCTGGTACATCGGAACACGTCGTAGTTAGTTTCATCTTATGCTTCGGGCTGAGCAGCACACATACAGAGCTTTGATGAGGCCGAAGGTGGGTTCGGTGCGTGATTGTCTTAAACTTGGCAAGGGCGCATATCTTGCTGATCCATCCTTGGGCTTAGCCATGACTGTCTGGGGTGATGATCCGCAAGTGGAGAAGGGCAGAATTCTTGGTGAAGATTCCAGCTGCACAAGCATCGGAGGGACACTTCCGAACCATTTCTGCAAGTTTGTGGGTCGCTGAAGCAATTAGGCGTGTAACGTGGGGAGTTTTTAAACCTGATGGAACCATTTTTTTTGCAGGTAGCAACGGCTGTAACTCCGCTATGTTTGGCTCAAGTCCGCCCAGTTAGGCAAAGATTGTGAGAACTGTGCTTCCCCATTGTTGAGCCAGATACAGTTTTGCCATCATTTCATAATTTCTCATGAGTCTTAGCTATTTTTCATCAAGTTTCATGATGTTTCATGAACTTGCATCGATTTTCTAATGTTTCATGGGTTTTCATGAGTTTTCAGCCATGTCTTGTTTGGCACGTCAGCGAAGCAGGACATGCTTCACAAGACTGAAAGAAAGAAAGCCATGTCTTGTTTGCGGATGGCTTCGTTCTTCTACGCCAGCCACTTTTTGTTTTTCTGCTCCCTTTTTGTTTTTGTTTTGACCTCAGATGTTGTTCTTTGGTTGATGACTTTTTTTTGATCCTCCAACCCCTCCCCCCCGCGCCCCCCAATGAGATTTGATGAGAAAACTCAGCCGCTTTGTGTTTTCTTTTGATCCCCGGATTTGCCTCCGGCCTGCTCCAACAGCCATCTTTTTAATCTTCAGATTTTGCTTTTGTTGATCCGTATTTGTGTTTTTTGCTTTTTTTTGATCCTCCACCCCAGTGGCAATATTCCTTGTTGTTGTTTGTAGCATTGTAGTCTTGCTACCCATATTTTTGGCAGTGGTAGTAGTAGGTTCAGAACGAACAGTACGATTGATATAGGCAACACAATTGCAGCTACTGGTAGTATTGGTTTTGCTTGGTTTTGGGAATAGTGTTATTGCAACTATGCGTGTTCATAGTTGTATGAGCATTAAAGTCAGAATGGATACCAGCAATACTGTGAGCAGGATTATTCATGCTGTTTGATTAACGTTTTTACTCGCAAACTATTCGTTCGGATCGCATTTGTGCCTTGAGCATCAATCTGTCCCGTGCACGAAGTGGTTTGTCATGCGCGCGCATCGGGTCTTGAATGAGTCCGCTAATTCTGTCTGGGAACCTCTTTGCGCCAATCGGTTTGTGCGCTGCGCAAGGGGATCGGTGCGCAAATCCACGGTGTCGGTGCTTGAGTCATGCGCAAATCGGCGACTGTGCAAATCCGCGGGGTATGGTGCGTGAATCCTCGGTGCGCAAATCGGTTCGTTTGGCGCAGATCGAATTGTTCTGCAACCTTTCCAACCGAGTCCAAGTGGATGCAAGAGAGACAAGTATCAAGGAGGAGGATCTTCTGAGTGCTGCACCCATGTCAGGCAGAGCACATTTCATCATCTGCTGGCTTTTACTCTTTCCCCCGAACTTGTACTGGCCGAGCCGACCTTCAGCCAGGAACCAAAGATTTTCATATCGTAGTCTGCTTGATGCGGTCTTGCAATTCTGCTGGATCGTTGGTTCACCGAGGCTTCACCCAAACGAAATTCCAGGCTTTGTCACGGCCTTAGTGCCGCAGCCCTGCAATCATCTGTAATCACTGCAATCAACAATCAGATGCCATCATAGAGGGCAGTTGAAAAACGCAGCTATTTGGTCCTTGCAGATGACAAGCAGCCCCTTTGGAATTCTACTTGCAGAAGCCAGATGTGTAGGAGTGGGTGCTCTGCTTGATCTAAACACGTGTAGCATCCGAGGACTCGGAAAACTTCACAAAAGAACGGGGGCCCACTTCCAAGAAGTTTCCTCCTGGTGATGTTTTTGAAATTTGTTCATGGCTGTCAATCCCAGGCCTGGCTATTGCAAGAGAGGCCCAGAATCCTTTGCGGAGGCTGCCAAGTTTCTTGCATGCTGGGGAGTGTGCAAGTTGATCGAGCAGGTGATGCCGGATTCTCACCCGCTCCGCGGGAGCAAGTTCAAGGTGCCGATTGCCCTGTGCTTTTTCAGGGTGCCTGAAGCCCAGCTAGACCTTCAGGCAAACACTAGAAAAATTGCCAGTACCAGTGCAGTTCTTTTTCGATATGCCCCAGGATCACCTTCGTCCTCTCTACTGTCATCAGGTTAGACAGGAGAGTCGTGGAACCCGTCTCCATTTAGCCCCATGTTATTGCAAATATGAACTAATCAGCACGCTTCACTACTGTATACTAATTTGTATGCGGACAGCTTTCGGGATGAATCTTAGTGCAGGTGGGCAGCACTGTACCAAGAGCAGAGCGCTTTGGGCCGGCAATTCCTTCTGTGGAAGGTCGAAAGGACCATGTGTTGCTGTGCTCAAGTCTCTTTCAGCACAAGGCCGAGCTATCTGGCGAAATATTTTGGAATAGTTCTCAGGCACAAATGCTGCCATTTGCGGAATTTCTCAGCTCGTGTTGGTGCAAGTTGATTTCAAATAAGATTCACAAAGGCCCCCGCTTTGCCAGATGGGTCTCAAACAGGCATGTGGAGAAGGGGACGTTGGTCCAGAATGTCCACAATTGCTTGCTTTGGGGAAGACCCGTTAGACATGAGTCCACTTTGGATTCCATGCAGAGCTTCAGCTGTTCTAGAGGTAGTTGCTGCATGTTGGAAATGTCTTCTAGACATGTGAGCTGCTTTTCTGGTTTTGATGTTCAAGTCATTTTGGTGTGCGTCTGCTGAGAACAACGTCATTGCGATTCACGGAACGTTGATGCAAAAGACCTGGACCAGCCAAGTAGTGCAGAACGCCAACAGCGCCAAACAGAGGACCCCATGAAGATTTGTAAGAAGAACTGAAACGTTGAAGAGCCCACTGAGCTTTGTGCGATCGGTCGAGCAGTGAAAACTGGGCTTGCCACTGCTACGGTCCATCATCCAGTCAGGAAGAGACGCAAGAGATCCTTTCAGGCTTGAGAAAGTTGATAAAAGAGCGACATCACGAGATGATGCTCTGACAATTTGATCAAGAGGCTGTCGTACATCGGGCTCGAAATCTGCGCTCCAACGTGTTCAAGAAGATCTTGTCATGTCTTGCTGCTATTCAAGAGTGGGATGTTGTGGCATGCAGGCAACAAGCAAATCTCAGCAAGAAAGTATCAAGCATCTTTTACTTGCCGTAGCTGTGCAACAAGATAAACAAGCAAAGCTCAGTCATATCCTTTCGATTACTAACATCCGTTCGATTTGAAGGTAAGGAGCTGGTGCTCGCCAGTTCAAAGCTGGCCGGTCAATCACCATAGATGATTGGGATGCAAATGCTTGTTCAAAGACTTTGGCTGACATGGTAACGCCATGGGAAAAGATACATCATCACACACAGCGTCACTGCCAGCATCATATGAGTGTGAAGCGACTGGTGTCGGATGTTAGTTGATATTTGTTGGGTGCTCCGGGACAAGTATGATGCTCATGAAAGATTATGTTCCCTTGATTGTGCAGAAAATTCAGTTGATCATCGTCGTGGTTTGCTTGCTGGGTGGGATGGATTGTGTGACTCTTTTTTATGCAGAGTCATTGAACTATCGGCTCATGCATGAGAGTAGAAGCGTGATCGAATGAGATCTAAGCAGTATCCATGATCCTGAAAGCTGGCTGGCCAAAACTGCTCCAGCCGAATGATCTTAATGTAAGCGCAGCGCGCCGACCGCCTCAGCTCCGCCAAGCCGAGCGAGATGTTGGACTGCAGCTGCCGAGGGACATTCTCAGGCTGTAGTGTTGGGATCAGGCTTTGCAAGAAGTTAAGTTCGGAATCATGAACCATGGGCTAGCTGGATGGGTGTTGCGTGGGCTTGAAAATTAGCCAGTGAGACTTGAGAGCAGAAAATGAAAGGAACAGTGCACCAGTAGGACGGTCAACACGGGGTTTCTGTGAGAACCCCTGAACGCCTTTCTGCCAGAGCAGTCTGGATACAAGGGCCATGTTGAGCCCTTCAGCAATCAACATACGACCAAAATCTCCTCTGTCTGCAGGACTTAGAACATAGCGCCGCTGTGTTTGCAACCTACGAAGGCCATAGCCTGGCACTGCAAAGACTCGAACTGCTGCCAACTGTTCCAAGTGACTGCCAGGCCGAATGCCACGAATGAATTGGAAAATTGACGGTACAGGAGCGCCTGCAGCTCAGCCCATTTTGCAAGACAGCCGCAAGCAAATTGGCCTTTTCATGTGTCAATGCCTCCAAGACGAAACCATGGAGAATCAAGGAACCGAAAAACAAACTGGGAGGCGGTAGCCAGCCACCCCCACCACTGCCACCACCTCCACCACCACCTCCACCACCACCACCCCCACACCCCCACCACCCCCACCACCTTCCCACCACCCTCCCACCACCCCCACCACCCCCACCACCCTCACCACACCACCAACCCCACTAACCCGCCAACCAACCAACCAACCAACCCAATAACCACCAACCCACCAGCTCACCATCCCCAACCACCGCGGCCGACACTACCCCAATCCACCACAATAAGCAATGCCTCCCTCCCGTTTCATACAAATGATGCCATTCTCCCAGAGGCACTTGCTTGATGAGTCAACTCTCTCAAAACGTAGACATTACTGTAGGGGGGTCATGATACAGAAGCACGAGAAAGACTAGGATTTTATTGTCATTCTATTCGTTAATGAGTCGATAATCAACTCACTAAATACAAAAATCATTAAAGGACCGGAGAACCCCACATGTGTAGTTTAACCGAAATTTAGATGAGATATTATTAGGATAGCGTCGCCCGGCGATATAGGAAGATATATTATATATTTAAAAGAATGCAAACTCGTGAGACCACATGCCGCGGCGAAACAACGAGCACATTGCGCGAGCGCGAAGTTCGGGCATCAGTTGCATCTGGTGTGTATGTATATGCGTATGATCGCGTGTACATTTCGCATA